TCTGTACAGTGAGCTAACCCAATTCAAAATTTAATCTTTATGCGCATAAACAAAATTTAAAAATTTAAAATCATGGCCTCTCTAAATCTGCAGATCGAACTGATCCTTCTCCACAACTGTGAACCCTTAACGATCTCTCTCTCTCTCTACTCATTATTCTTCTAAACGAGCTCAGCCGAGAACTTGATTGCTCCTCTGTCAGCGGCGGAGCTGTCGGCTGAACTCCCTGAGACCTCTCTCTGCTTATCGTCCTTCTAAAGGAGCTAATCATAGAGCTGGATTGCTCCTCTGCCAACGGCGGAGCCGTTGGAACCTCGCCATTCTCGGCCGACGGAACTATCGGCTCCACCGCTGTTCGGCAGACAGGACAGGTTGTATTGGAAAAAAGCCACATATCGATGCACCCCACATGGAATACGTGCTTGCAATTGGGGAGAATCCTGACAGTGGCTTTCTCTTCGATGTTGCTCAAGCAAATCGAGCACTCTACAATTTCGCCTTGATGATCGGCTTGCTTGTGGATAGATTCCGGCAGAACTCTAGCTATAAAGACAGGGTCCAGGCCGGCCTTTGGCAGCGGCGCCGCCGTGTGATTCTCTCGATCGACTCGTGAAATCTGCTGGTCGAGACTAATTAATCTGGCTTCTCGTCGGCGCCGTCGGAGATATCTGAGGTAAAAGTGGAGGAAGAGGATGAACATAACCACGACGAATAGACTGAAAATTGCAGAGACCATGATCTTATGGCGGGCTCCGTACTTCCGGAAAGTACGATAATCGTGGTCGGAACCCATGATTGAATCAACTGGGGAGCTGTAAGAACGGTTAGTGTTTTGGTTTTAATTGCACACAGAAATATATATTTTAGAACTTGGAAAATCTTTGAAATTGAATTACAAAAGGGAAAATTCATTATTATTATTATTATTTCTTTGGAAAAATATGACTTCTAGTCTTTCATAGTTGTTTCCAATATTTGACTTTATTAATTTTTAATAAAGATATTAAATTTTGTACAAAATTGTTCTGGTCCCTCCCTTGCTATTTATTCAAGAATTTAATTATTTATTTATGTTTGTCACGCAACTACTAATAACGTGTATACTTGTATAACTGTACATTTGTTGATTACATAAATGAATTAAAATTAGACAGAGAAAGAAACGAATTAATTCATTAAAATCTATTTCATAATTAAAATATTAAATTAAACTAAACCATTTATTTAGAACCCATTAAACGGTTATTTTTGCTAAAAATGCAAAAATAATTTAGAGACAACGATACACCCATATTTTTAGAATTTTATAAATTATTATTAATGCCTTAAGTTCGAAACAAATATTATATATGCATAATTTAATTATTTAAAAAAATCAGGAGACTATAAAGTACCGTATATTATAAAATGTTATAAATTTCCATTAATGTCTTAAGTTCAAAATGTTATAACTTACTGTACTAAAGTTTAATAGACATGAGTGCATTTAAATAAGAGTAATAATTTTTTTTTAAAAAAAATATATTGTTAGTTATAATAATAAAATTAATTCAAAATTGAGGGGCGGAAAATATGTTTGGTATTATTAGCGACAGGTCGGAAAATAAAATGGCCAGCCCTAAGCAAAATGTTGACTTTTAAGCATCGTTGGAAATTGGGAACTTAATTAGAAAACGGAATGGAAGAGAGATTTCAAACTCCGTGATGGAATCGGAAGAAAAAACAAAGAAATTGATGCCTCCGTTCATTAATTAAAGATGGAGACGATGTGGGGCGACAAGATTTGCGTAATGTACAGATGTCGCAAAGGAGTGGCCGGGAAATACCAATTTTGTTACCATTCTGCTTAGCTCAATAATTCATTCTACGGTTGGTTCAATTTGGACAATTCCTATCTGAAATTTTCATTCATTCATCTCTTTCTTCACTCCCTTTTCTTTTTTTTCATTTCGATTTTCGATCAAAGCGTTGGTTCCCATGTCGCTGTAGGAGGAAGCCACCAACCAGTTAATGAGCACCGTATGATCTTCGTTCTTACGAGCTGTTGCGTTGGTTGAGCCTCTGATTGAGGGCAGGAAGATTTGTTTAAGGGTTTTCATTTTTTGTTGGGTTTTAAAAACTATTTTGGGAGAAAAAAAAGGGTGGTGATGGGCCATGACTAATCCACATTGCAACAACCACTTTTATTCTCTCAGGGATTGCCTTCATCTTTACTACTACGACTTCAGAAAGCTGGACCAGTTGTCTACTTCCTTCTCTTTCAAAATTGGAGTGCCTATCCTTATGCATTAGACCAGGTTTAGAACGGTTTCTTCATTGATTCCCTCTCCACCCTTTTCTCGGTATATCTATTCTTCACCTGCATTTCTTTCCGTTTACTATTACCCCCGTTTCTGTGTTGCTGTTTTGAGACATGGGATTTTGAAATTGGTAAGAAATAGTAGATCTGGAACACTTAGAAGCGTGTTCATGCTGAAATTCCTTATGTTCTGTGATTCTTTTTTGGGATTTCCCATCTCTTCTCTGGTGATGATGATGTCTGTGATTATGGAACATATAATCTTCTTTTCAATGAAATGGCGTGATCTTGAGCCACTGTTTTCATAAACTAGTTGCTATGATCTGAGATTGTTGATTTTGAAATGTGGTATAATTGATTGGCAGATGTTCATTGAGTACCATCTTATCTTAGTTTCTTTCCTGTGTTGTTAATTTCAAGTTCAATTCAATGTGTTTCTGTGGATCTGTATTGGAAGTTTCTTTTGCGTAAACCCAGTAATTCTATGGTCAGATAAGAATAACTTAAGGGGAGACCTAATACTGAAATATTATTGAAGCAGACTAGGGTTAGCCAACGCTTGCTTATTAATGATATTAATGGCGTTTGACTAACGTGAAATTGTTTCTAGGTTGTATAGCGAGCATGGGTTCTGGAGACTGGTTTAAGACAGTAATTCGCTTAAGGAAAGTAAAAACCAGCAGTTCAAAACATGCTAAGGTATGGGAATGCAATTTCTTTTGGTTTTTGGTACAAACTATGGTCCTTGGCTCCTCAGTAAGAAAAGGAGGGGAAATAAAATGGAGAAGTTTCAATCTTCTCTTCATCAGTTCTTATTAGTTTTCTACTCTGATATGGAAATCATCATCTCAGGAGAAATCAAATGCTTTGAAATCGAATAATCTGGAAAAAGATTCCTCGAAGGTTAAAAAGAGTGGTACCAATGGGAGCAACAAGTCTATTGGGATGCCAATTGAAGACGTTGCTGCAGTTCGGATTCAGACTGCATATCGAGCTTATCGTGTGAGTTCCTATTTCTATACGACCTTCTTCCCTCTGAAATATATGCTTCATGATGAGTTTATTGATGTCACAAGCCCCTTTTGTTGCTTACCCATCTGCTCTTTACACATGATATTTATCATACTCTATTTCGTAACCAGGATTGATAAGACATTCTAACTTTTAGGTACTCATATAGTGGCAGCATTTTGTTATTCTTATGTGCACGTAGCTGTTAATGTTGCTATATTTTTCACCTATTATAGGCCAGGAAAATTTTACGTCGCTTGAAAGGAGCTGTGAGACTGCAGAATCTGACTCAAGGCCACTCTGTTAGAAGGCATGCTACATCTACAATAAGTTATCTTCATTCATGGAGCAATATACAGGCTCAAATTAGGGCTCGTCGAATCTGTATGGTGACTGAAGGACGCCTCAAACAAAAGAGATTGGAGAATCAACGAAAACTTGAGACTAAACTTCATGATATTGAGGTCAGTCCATTGCTTCTCCTGTGTGCTAAGTTCTCCTCATGGTTACTAAAGTCTTGGTAACCCAAACATCTGACTCTGTTTTGTGATTCTTGTTTCCTTCATGTTATTTCTGCTGCTTAGTTGTAAGAGATTGAGGGTCTATCAAGTTCAATCGTTTATAAAGTAATCAAAAGTTTAGAAATATACCAATTATGAAGCTTGAATGTTACTTTTTTTTAGGCATATCAGTCCTGTTAAGCAGTAGTTTGAATGGACTGCAGGTAGAGTGGTGTGGCGGTGCAGACACCATGGAGGAGATTCTTTCAAGGGTACACGAGAGAGAAGAAGCAGCTGTTAAGCGTGAACGTGCTATGGCATATGCATTCTCACATCAGGTATGCCAATCACTCAAAACGTGAACTATTTTATACATCATGATGCCCCTCATCTCCATTGGTCATTTCACAAATCCTCTAAAACTTTCAGTGGAGAGCAAACTCCAGTGAGATGTATGGACTGGGTAAAGATGAACTTGGTAAAGCTGATTGGGGTTGGAGCTGGAAAGAACGATGGATTGCTGCTCGTCCATGGGAGAGCCGCGTACCATCTAAGTTCGTTACTCCAAAGAAATCGACAATGAGACAATCAAGCAAAGCCAGTAAGAAAAGCTCTCCATCCCCAAAAGCAAGAGTTTTGGTTAAACCTCCTTCCCCGAATGGAAAATCAACTCCAAAGGCTCGAAGGTTGTCGTATCCAGCAACCGAGAAAACCGATAAACTGGCTACAGAAGAAAAGGGCATCAAGAAAAGCGTTAAAGATGATGAAGCAAACACTAAGAAAGAAGAAACAACGTCCTAATCGATGCCATTTATAGAATGCAAAAGGTGTTCATATTTTCATGGAAGAAAGTGAATAAAGATGTAGAAGCCATTTGTTTTCTGTATGTCATTTGATGATGTTCATTGATGGAGTGGTGTGAGGTAATGTATTATTGGCATGCAGACTGACCCCATGTCATTATTTTCTTACATTTTCTTTCCTGTTTCTTGTTATGTATATTTGAAAGAAAAAGAAAACAGTGAGTATTACATAAGTTATAATGTATATGAACAGTGTTCATGATTTTGAAATTGTGTAATCTAATCTCCAATAATATGTGGGTTTTACGAGAAACAACATAAACAACTTCAAATCTTAAAGATTCCTTACATTCCAACACCTGCCGTCCTCCTTAGCGACTCATGTTCGTGCAGATAGAATATCCATGGAAGGTACTTCAACGTGTCACGTTGACAGTGGCGAGTTTTAAAGTCATTTTAGTACACAGTTATAATAAACTTCTCTCGAGCGAGAAGTAACGCTTGTGAGTTTCGTAGTTCATTCTTCCAATCCCAGCGCCCAGAACCAAACTCCTTTTCGTTCCAACCAATGCCTAATGCTTGCTAAAAGCCCCACCAGCTATTGTTGGTAATGAAACGGGCTGACTCATTTATTGATGAAGAAATCGGTGAGGCTTTAAATTCATGATTTCTATATTGAGAAGGCTATCGAAACCATCCCTCTACATTACACAGATCCCAAAACTCATGGAATCTTCGTCGGACTCTTCTGGGTGCTCAAGAAGGCTAGTCGCTTTGGCACAGCAACTCCGCCTTTACAAGCCGCCACCATTGTTGGATGACATAGATGAGCCAAGCAGTGAGGAGAGTAATGGAAAGGTTGTTTCTCAAGTGGGTTTCCCGGAATCGGCCACCCCAATTTCCCGAGACCCAGAGAGATTCAGACCCAAGAAAGCGGCAGTGTTGATCTGCCTTTTTGAAGGGAAGGATGGCGATCTTCGGGTCATTCTCACCAAGCGATCGTCGAGGTTGTCTACTCACTCGGGTCAGTGCAGTTCGATTGAATCGAAGAGATAAAATTAACCTGGGAAAGAGAACACAAAAGGGAGAATTTGAATTTGAATTTTTTCTTCTCCGAAAATGGAAAAGGATTCGTACCTCTATTTGACTATATATATCAAATCAATCTGAACCCTGTTTCAATTTAGCTTTATTAGGCGTTAAGTGATCAATTGGGGGCGAACTTGACTGCAGGTGAAATTGCATTGCCTGGAGGAAAAGCAGAGGAAGGAGATGAAGACGATGGGGCGACTGCGACGAGAGAAGCGGAGGAGGAAATTGGTTTGGATCCTTCGCTTGTAAATGTTGTTTCTGTTCTTGAGCCATTCTTGTCTAAGGTTTGTGCTCTCGCTCCCCCACAAAATTTCTGGATTTGCGATGATAAGTATTCGATCCATCATTGAAACTCCCTACTAGGGTGGAGAACGGACTCATTTCTGATCATAGGAAACAATAGGTTAATATTTTAAGATCAAATTAACCAATGAGGATGTAGGGCATGACCGAAGGTTTATGCTGGTAAATTAGGGTTTTCTGATTATCAGAGTTTGGTTTCATGGGAACTCCAAGATGTTTCCTTTTTCTTATTGAGGCACTAAGTCGTAGAGACTAGAATTTTGTTTCATTCAGTTTCAAATGCTTTCTTTGAATAGGTACCCTATATTTTGGACTATAAGAACACTCCTAGTTTTGAGTGCAGCAAGAAGCATTTGCTGATGATCTCTTCTGTTTTCTTTGCAGCATCTCCTAAGAGTGGTTCCTGTTATAGGCATTATGACTGACAGAAATGCATTCATTCCCAGACCAAACCCTGCTGAAGTGGAAGAAGTATTTGACGCTCCACTTGATATGTTCATTAAGGTTATTGTCTCTGTTTGGTGGAGAATTAAAGAAAATATAACTATTTTCTGTTCTTGATCTTGAACCCTTCAATGTTAATGTTGTCTTCAAACATTTGATGCAGGATGAAAATCGGAGATCAGAGGAAAGAGAGTGGATGGGATGCAAATACCTTGTTCATTTCTTTGACTATGAAACCGAGAACAAGAAGTATGTGATATGGGGTTTAACTGCTGGGATCTTGATAAGGGCTGCATCAATAGTACTCCAGAGTTCACCACCTTTTCTGGAGCAAAACCCTATCTTCAAGGTTCCAAGGGTTGTAGCCAAAGATACAATTATGTCTTAAATTTGAGATTTTATTGTTCAACTGTACTATCGAAGTCGGACCTCAACTGAAATAAGATTTTGATGTTAATGTTTGATATGAATAAAAGGTAGAAGATTCCAAAGATTATTGCACTCATTTGGATGCTTTTCAACTAGGAACCAAGAATAAAATTTCAGAATAGAGGAAGCCAGCAGTATCATGTGCTGAGAAAGTTACCTTTGAGACTGAATGCTCACTGCTACCCTACATATGCCATCAATGGACATATATTCTTCGACTTGACCTTTTCTTGAGGCCAATACATAGACTGACATTCGTCTTACTGATGAATTGAAACGGAAACACTCGAATGATTGATAGGGTGCATGAAGTTCTAGATAATAGAATTGGACGACCTCGTTTTACAGCAGTAGAGATCGTAGATTTCTCCAGATAAATAAGAATTACCCTTGTATTGGATATCTTTAAAATTCTTCTCATATTTAATGGAGAAGGGAAACACTTCAATAAGCACTTACAAAAAGAGTTGCAGAGACAAGGCCATTTGTATAACCTTTCTCAGCTAAATACCTCATAAAATTTCTCAATGACAAGTAAACCAGAATCAATAGATTCCAATGGATCCTTTCTAAGACGATGTCTTAAGCAGTTGGGAATGACAGTAGCTATATCCTCAGCACCAACTTTATCCCTTCCCTTTAGAGCTGCAAGAGCCTTTGCAGCTCTATTTGTCACAATGTCTCCTCTCAATCCATCGACGTTCAACTCGGCACAAACCTTGGAGATTTTCACCTTCAGATCATGATCTATCTGCACAGAGGAAAGTGAAGTTCTAGCCGATGAAATTTGTTGCTGTAACTTTTCTTGCTCTGCGTTGTAAGATTCACGGAACTCTTTGGGATTCTGGTCAAACCGGGCCCTCTCCTCTACAATTTTCACTCTCAACTCTGCATCCCTTACAGTACCTACTTGCGCATGCATTCCGAACCGATCGAGCAGCTGTGGCCTAAGCTCCCCTTCTTCTGGATTTCCTGAACCAATTAAGATGAATCGAGCGGGATGGGAAATGGATATACCTTCTCTTTCAACTGTGTTCCAACCAGAAGCAGCAGAATCTAGTAGGACATCAACCAAATGGTCATCCAAAAGATTTACCTCATCTACATAGAGAATACCTCTGTTCGCTTTGGCAAGAAGGCCAGGCTCAAATGCTTTCACACCTTCAGTAAGTGCCTTTTCAATGTCAATAGTCCCACAAACCCTGTCTTCAGTAGCACCCAATGGCAGATCAACCATATTGATTTTGGTCATCACCACTGAAAGTTCCTCTCCTTTCCCCAGACTTTCCCTCACTTCAATACCCATTGATTCAGGGTCCTCAGGATCAGAATTGTAGGGATCCCCAAATACAACTCTGATTTCAGGGAGCAAATCAACCATGGACCTAACAGTGGTGGATTTTCCTGTTCCTCTATCACCCATTATCATGACGCCTCCTATTTTCGGGTCAATAACGTTCAGAAGAAGGCATAGTTTCATCTCATCCTGCCCAACTATAGCAGCAAATGGATAAACAGGCCTCTGACTCTCTTTTGAGAGATTCGCAGCCTGAAAAATTACGAATACATTATTTACTCATCTAATCTTGAAACAACCACAATGATTTCTACATTCATTTTCTCACCACTAAATTTTTTGCCTTCTTTATTCCTTCTAAAGAAAGTATTAAAGAACTGTTTAAACTAAGATCCTTCAAGTTCATTGACCAGCAAAGATATTGTAGGAGTAAAGACCTTAACAAACATTTTCCCCGACTATAAGCAAAGTTCAAGAAACTGTAAAGCCAGTCGGAAAGTCTTAAAATGGCATATCATCAATTCTATTTGGTTTACAGTTAGTTTACTAGAGCCAGACGGCATCCCATATCCATTGTTGGGGTGCAACATACCTGCTCGACAGTGTTTATTTCAGCCGCCACATTACATTGAACCAGAGGCCTTTCCTTCTTCCCCTGAATCCTAATACTCCCAAAAGACTTCTTCCCATTGCCATGAGCTGCAAAATTACCATTTGCTTACACAAAAAAGGTTCGATGAAAATTGCTGAAACTCAAGATTTGCATCACCAGAATTTCAAAAATATTAGGCTTCAAGAGACGAGTAAAAGAAACTAAGAATGAGTTCGGAGCCATCAAAGACGCAGTGAAAGACGACAATAAGCAAAGAATAAAGTAAAGGGGAAATTGATTCCATGGAAATGTACCTGGGGTTAGGGATAGAAGAGGGACGAAATGCGTGGGGGAGGGAGAAGAGAGTGATCGAGAAGCCAAGATCGCGGTTGAGGAAGATCTTCCGAGAGCGAACGCCATGGGCGAGTTCTAGCGTGGGTGCGAATCGCCGGTGATTCGTTCCCAACTTCGATAACGGTTTGTTAGGTTGCGAATAAGAGAGGATAGATTTCAGTCCAAAGTTCTCTCCCTTCCAAGCCGACTCCGAAGTCACTACCTTTAGATCATTCTTCATTTTTCTTTAAAAAAAAAAAAAATATTGAAAATATGTTTACACGGTTTATATTTCATAAAAATGATCATTATTATTTAATCAAATTTTGAGTTTTAAAATTTATTAAAAATATGTAACTAAAATAACTTTTTTTAACAGAAAAGAAGACATTTTGAAATAAATTTTCTATCCAATATCAACATTTCCTTTTCTCTACAAAGCTTCCAGCCACGGCATTAGTTTTTGTTTTAAATGCAACTCAGGATGGACAAACTCTTGACCTAAAAACATGTATACAAAATTGAGATTCTCCATTGACCAATAGGAGCAAAAATAAATAAATAAATAAATCAAAAATTAGGCCAACTATATGTGAATGATATATTGTAATATTTTAAAGCATAAGAATTGGATTAGGAAGAGGTAGGGGCAGGGTGAATAAAGGTGGTACTAAATCCATGCAAGAGGGCAAGCCGTAAATTCTTTTTAAGTTCAACCAATGAAATCATTAGGGAAATAAAAAGGAATTATGATTAGATTAAGACAAGATGGTGTTTAGCAGCTATAAAAACCGGCAATATCTCTACTCTACACGTCGCTTCAAACTATTTCCTCAAATACAACAAAAAAATGGCCAAGTTTATGTTTTGGGTCTGCCTCATCGTCTTGGCCGCACACTCTTTTGCAGGCTCTCAATCTCGACGGCTTTTTGGTTTACACTCAGAGCCGAACTTTCCGGCTAACTCATACCGGCCAGCGCTGTTGGGTTCCAAAGACAACTTCCACATTGGGTTGGTTGCCGTCCAAGGCTCAGAAGGCATTCATCAACGTGAAGTGGCGCGTCGGTCGCCGGGAGGCCCTGATCCCCACCACCACTAGGACGTGGCGTTTGAAGCCGGAGAAAGCTGAGAGTTGCGGTTTAAGCATGTACTAAAAGAGTTTTGAGAAAGACAACAGCCACCATCAATCAATAATTTGTACGGTTCTCGACAATAATGGAAAGTTTATTTTTTTTTTTACGTGATACGAATGTGTTAGGAATCATGACTCTTGCAATCATATAATGTTGTCCACTTTGAGTATAACACTTTGAGCACGACTCGTATGACTTTGCTTTGGACTTCCTCAAAATGTCTTATACTAATGAATATGTATCCCTTTCTTATAAATTCACGATCGTCCTCTAAATTAGCGAACGTGGAACTCCCTCCCAACGGAATGTATTGTGCGCACCCATTTTCCCTTATTTTTAACATCATAAGAACAGCAAACGACAAAAGCAATTGATGATCCAATATGTATGGTCTATAAAAGAGTACGTTGAGATACTCATTTTGGTAGCACTTTAAAACAAGGCAGTCAAATATGATATCACACCCACCTCTAGGCGTTTGCTTCATTATAAAAAGGTGTTAAAGCAGCCGCCACTGAGTTGAAAATTAATACAGAAACGATGAATGCATAGCACCATACAAGGAAGAAGACAAGCCGCCTTCTTGGCTTTGTGGTTAGTCAAGATTTTGAATCAATTTCTTTCAAATCAACTTTTTGTGTCTATTATGACCAAAATGATCAGATTTTGAAGAATCAAATAAGATAATGGAAGTGTGTCGTGTAGTTTAAAAGGGTTATGAGTCCAAAGATTTGCATGGAAAGTGTTCTAAGTTGAGTAGGTTTTCCATATTAAAAAATAGAAAACAAAAATAAAATCATTCTAATATTGCATGGAATTAGGTGACGTAGCAAATATGGAATGATTTGCCCTTAGTGCTATGACCTAGCAATTTAGGTGACATAATAAAGTTGTTTCATGTTATAATTTCAACCTAAGTTCTAGATGACATAGCAATTTAGGTGACATAATACTCGATGTCTTGTGCATTATGTACGTTCTCGTATATTGTATACAAGTTTTATGCATCATTTACACTTCAATGAAGTTGAGTCTCTCGTGCTCGAACATATGAATCTCATGTGTCAGTGTTGTCGTGAACTATCGGTAAATTATGTGTGCATTGATAATGATAGCAAGAGATTATAATCATTAGTTTGAGAAAAATAACGGCTGTATTTGGTTTCAGCCTTCAAATTTAGGTCATCCAAAGAAAACAGAACAAAAACTCATAGATTGTATTTTCAACTTGCTCCACATTAGCCACAGATCTCTCTGTGTCGGAACCGTTGAAATCAGAGCCACGGTGCTGACAAACAAGTTGGGACTTCTAAAAGAATCCACCGTTTGCCAACTGCCTGCCTTTTTTCTACACGATGACAAATGGAGTTCACTTAAGAAACTCACAATTGTTCCAACGCCCATAGTTTCAAGCTTTCCCCATTCTCTAATAATTCTGTAATAACATCTCCAGAACCCACAAAAATCGGATCTTTTAACCTCTGATTTTCGTTTCGTATGGAATCTGCTAATTCAATTGCCTCTGCACCTCATCCCACTTCAATTCTACTGCCAGTGGCTCACAATGCCCCAAGCGGCACGGCGGGTAGTCGTCTCGCTCGGCGCCTCGTCGAGATCGGAGTCAAAGATGTGTTCTTTGTTCCTGGGGATTTCAATCTGACCCTTTTGGATCACTTGATCTCTGACCCTCAACTCAACTTAATCGGCTGCTGCAATGAACTCAACGCTGGCTACGCTGCTGATGGCTATGCTCGAGCCAAGGGCGTGGGTGCATGTGTGGTCACTTTCACCGTTGGTGGGCTTAGCGTGTTGAACGCTATTGCTGGTGCATACAGTGAAAATTTGCCTGTGATTTGCATTGTGGGTGGCCCAAATTCCAACGATTATGGCACTAACAGGATCTTGCATCATACCATTGGGCTTCCTGATTTCACCCAAGAGCTTCAATGCTTCCAAACAGTCACCTGTTATCAGGTAACTTTCAGATTCAAGGATGTTAATTGAAAATATGGTTAATGGGGTTTTTTCAATTTGGTTTATGAAGAGGTAATGTGGCAGGCGATTGTGAATGATTTGAGTGATGCGCATGAGTTGATAGACACTGCGATTTCAACTGCTTTAAAGGAGAGCAAACCAGTTTACATCAACATAAGTTGCAATCTTCCTGGAGTCCCTCATCCTACTTTTACTGCAGATCCAGTTCCCTTCTTTCTTGCTCCAAAGTATGACAATTTTTCTTCAATTATCGTCCCTTCCCTTTGAATGTGCCATATCAAACCTAATCATTTGTTATAGTTTGATGGTTAACGTTACTTGAGTTGAATGTCATATTTCTAGAGTAAGCAACCAATGGGGGTTGGAAGCAGCAGTTGAAGCAACTGCAAATTTTCTCAACAACGCAGTGAAGCCGGTGATTGTTGGCGGTCCCAAGCTAAGAGTGGCAAAGGCACAACGGGCGTTTGTCGAGCTGGCCGATGCAAGCGGATATCCGATCGCCCTTATGCCGTCCGGGAAAGGGTTGGTGCCGGAGCACCATCCACAGTTTATTGGGACATATTGGGGTGCTGTGAGCACCAGTTTTTGTGGGGAGATAGTTGAATCAGCCGATGCTTATGTGTTTGTTGGCCCTGTTTTCAATGATTACAGCTCTGTTGGGTACTCTCTACTTGTGAAAAAAGAGAAGGCTGTGATTGTGAATGTGAACCGTGTGACCATCGGTAATGGCCCATCCTTTGGCTGCGTTTTCATGGCTGATTTTCTAAATGCATTGGCCAAAAGATTGAAGAAAAACCCCACTGTTCTTGAGAATCATCGCCGAATATATGTTCCTCCTTGTATCTGTCACGACCCGAAAAAAAACATAATCCTTAAGCCGTGACTAACATTGTATGACATCTAATGTATAAACGAGAATTTCAAGGAAGTCATTTGTTTCAAAGAAAAACGTATCTTTATTAAAAGGACATAAGTGCCCAGGTAAAAACAAGAAAAGAAACATTAAGGTCAAAGTGAACTATTCAATATACTAGACTGACGCCCCGGGACACGCTTCCTCTGTGACAACCCACATCGATCGACGCGCCCTCTCTTGACTCGACGCCTCACGTACCTGAAAAAAATAAAGGTATAACAGGAATGAGTATAAAAATTATACTCAGTAAGCCACCTACTTGTAGGCTCTTATCGCACCCTAAACTTAGCAGACGATCACGGACTTTCCTTTGGCTCTAGAACAACTGAATCTGGCCTTACCTCATTAGGGCTTACTCTCTTGGAACTTATCCCTTTGGACTTCTTTGGTTCTTAGACCTTTTATTTAAACCCATAGAGTTCCTTTTATGCTAACCTGTGTTGGACTGGTGCCTTACGAGTGGCTACCTCGGCATGGGTATGAGATTATCTGGGGTCTTGCCTAGGAAGTGAGCTGCAACCCCCTAGACCCATGATAATCCCCCTGTATTTGGGAGGGCTACCTCCCCTATTCCATCCAGCTAAACGGTCAATTACGACGTGGGTATCCCGTTTCCCATACTAAACGGCTATCGAGCAATCGAGTCCTGATCAGGAACCCGCTGGTCCCCCACGAAGCTATATCACCATCCACACACAAGTAGCCTAAGGGTACTCTAAGGATGTTTCATGTGCCGTGATGGTCTGTTAAACTAATAGGAAAAGGTTATGTCTATCCCTTGATGGCTTGTCGCTCTAACCATAGTCTACTAGTCTTATTCATAAAGGTGGCCATGAAAATAACCGAGTACGTACATAACTATTATCCAAAAACCTCAAACACATTTCATGCAAAGTAATCATACAAGCTCGACGGGGTGATAACATCCATCAACTCCCGGAGCACAGAGTTCGCAATTTTCCCATCCTCCATTCAGCAAAAAGATATACATATGCATGAAATAAAATGGGAACTAAAAGCATATAAGCAGTATCCAAGTAACGCTCATAACAAATCACAGCATACATCTTACTTTCAATAATCTATTCCTCCAAGAACATTACGGAAAGCTACAACCTAAGGTAATTCAAACTAGCATGCATGCATCCCAAGCGGTTCCTACAAGTATTACTTCCTAAATTCCGTGTGGCGACTTACTTGGATGCTACGTGCCCTTACGCAGCGTTTCCACACACTTGGCGTATCGAGAGGGGGTGATTTTTCCTCAATAAGGTCCTATTTCATACAAACAAATGGAGTTAGGATATGAATCAGGGGGAAACTAGGGAAAACAGAAGTCGTTCGGGCCAAAAATCAGCTTACACGCGCCTCCACGCGCCAGTCACACGCCGGGGAGCAGCCACTCGCAGATCCCACGCGCGAGTGTCACGCGCCCAGAGATTTTTGCAGTCGCAGGTCCGGGTCGCGTAGCCAGAGACGCGTGTTGCAGGAGAGCTGGAGCCGCGTTTTCCCAGGCGGCGCTCGACGCGTGTCCGGGGGCGATTGGCGCACGCGGCCCTCTAGCTGGTTGCCACGTGGTACGCCGGCGGTTTTCTCCCTCCTCCTAGCAGAGAATCAAAGTTTTCCGGTTAGTTTCCGAGGTACTCTCCATTTTCTGTTTTTCGATTCTCAATCCAAACAGAAATGGTTTCTTCAACAACGATTTAGATCATCTATCTACCTACGTGCTAGTATTTCTTTCTTGATTTTGTTTAGTCATAAGGTGAGTTATGAGCGTCGGAAAGAGTCCGGTCAAATCCTTACCGTTCTTGGGTAGTCTCTCCGATCTCGTCGTTTCGTCCGTTTTCCTCACCAAGATCAGCGGCGAATCTTCCCTAGAAGAAGGTAGTAGACTTAATCATTCTACTCCTCAACAAAGATCCCAGATCTGGAAGGTATAGTTCGAAATCTTACCTTGGGTTTTTTTTTTGTTTCTGATCTTGAGGGAAGAGGAGGAAATCTCCACACGAGTTCTTACTTCACTCCAAGAAGGGCTCCAGAGTACAGGTCTTAGTAGGGAATGGATCCTATAGGCGACTCTCCGACGAAAACTCCGGCAAATCCGTTCTCTCTCTCTCAAACCTTCTCTCAGTCCTTCTCTCTCACTCTTCTTCTTTTGCAGGAACTCTGAGGAGGACGCTCAAGACCCCTATAATGGGCTGAGGGGTAAAATGTCCTTTTTTGCCCCTCGGCCGTTTTTTTTTTTTTTTTTTTTTTTTTTTT